AACTGGATGGTAACTTTGAGAAAACAATCCGGCAATATGATGCATATGTATAAAAGCATATATAATCAATTCATTTAAAGTATGTTTAAAATGCGTTTTCAAATTTTCAATCTTTCAGACTATACTTCACAGGATCATATAAAGAAAAAGTTTCAATTTCAGTTACTTCAAACTAAGCATTTCAGGTTAAATACAGTCAACTCTCGATAATTTGTACTCCGCTAAAACGCGTTAAATCCAAAAAAAAAAATCCCATCCCATAAACTCTAAGTTCTATCCCCAAAAAAATCGTTCTCTATAATTTGAATTTGTCCCCTTGCCATTTCGAATCATCGGAACTCGACTGTATTAAACAAAATTCTGTTAAAAGTTAACATTATATTGGAATATTTGAGTTCATTATTTGAAATCTGCTTGAATCTCAGCCAAGCTAATTTTTTGGGATTACTTTTAAATAGCCGGATGTTTTGAGTTCCAGTTGAATCCATAAATTTACAAAATATAACTATTTATCTCTATTTGGCATTTCCCGAACATGGAATAGAATATAATGCTACAAAACTCTATCGAAAGCTGTTTACATGGAGTTGATCAACCTGACAATAGTAGAGGAACTAAAAACTCTCAGACTCTGTATATCTCTAACGATAGTCTAGAAATTAAAACTATATCAATATATTATATACTGAATTCCCTTATTTATTTCTCTATTTAATCTCTTGAGCTAAAATATTGATCCATTTTTTACAGCACTTTCATTCAATAAGCAAATGTTCAATTTAGCTCGTTAAATTAGTTGATCTGGCCCATGGTGCGGCGCGCCGCAAATGGCCCGGCTCAGCGCTATTCAAACTGTCGCTCCGGGGTTTGACAGGCGCTGTCGATCTATACACATGTGTTCGTGCCGCTGGGGAGCCATAAAAGCCAGCCACTGGCTACGAGGGGGCGCGTCAGCTAGAGGAGGCGTGGTCATGTATAGACTGTTAATAAACATGTTTTGATACGGCTGCCGCAGCAGCAGTGGCAGCGGCAGCAGCAGCTTCGACGATATCTTCGGGCCAAGCACTTAACACAAGGTCAACGAGGACAAGGACAGGACATGCCAAAAACGGCGGAGGTCAGCAGGTGGTCAGACACACGCCCACACCTCTCCCCCTCACACCCACCGCTGTGGCATGCAACGACATGCATGCAAGCAGTAGAATAAGAGAGAGAGAGAGAAAGAGAGAGAGAGAGAGAGAGAGAGAGAGAAAAAGTGTATGTGGGATAGGAAATTGATGGAGGCGTCGCGCATTTAAGCAGGATGCAGGAAGCAGGAAGCGGCCGGTTAGCTGTTGAGCGCTGAGAGGAAACGGAAGGCAGATGGACTTTCAATATGGCCAACGGATATGGCCAACAGCCTGCAGCCAGCCTGATTTGTTTTTGCGCCCTCGGCACACGTGACACGTGACAATTGTATGAACGAAAATATGCATGTACCAGAGCAAAACACCATCCCCACCCCCCACGTCAGTCCCATAGCCCCACAATCCCCATTCGCATATATATCAAGTCCATAAATTGCAAATATTTGTGGCCTCATAGCTTTGCAAGAATAGGAAATAGGAAATACGAAATGGAAAGGCATATGAGGTCAGCCATATGGCGAACAACATTTTCAATTACAATTCGGTTTGATTGTAGCACTTGGTATTGGTAGTACAGGTCTTGGGACTCCCGCAAAATATGGAGAATTCTTAGAAGTGGAATAACAATTGAGGTAATTGTCTGCCGCATACTTTAACTGCTTGACAATTGGGGGTCTTCTATCTCACATATCCTTAAATCTCCCTATATCCTGAACTACTCTACTATATATATATCAAGTAAAATCCGCAATTACATATGTATATCTCTGAGTGGCGCTCAAATTGTTTTTGCCGTATAATCCATCAATTTTGATCTTGACAAGCGATTCTCCAACTTTGTTTATAAATCCCAAAGAGTTTAGGCAAATTTTGAAAGTCATTCGTACGAGTTAATTTCTGCTGTCTCTAGCATGTCTGGTGAGAAGTGAAGTGAACATTTCTTTGTCACTCTCCCTTACTCCTCTTTTTGTCTTCCTGTTTCTCTCCCTTTCTCTCTCTCTCTCTCTCTCTCTCTCTCTTTAAGCCAGTGCGACATGTAGCAACTCAATTTGGGCGTGCGTACATTTCTAGCAGTCATCGTAGATGAATGGACAACCGAATTCCGTAGGTTCCATTGCCATCTCCTGCCGTTGGCCGCCCAAGCAGCTGCCGCCAGTCGAAGCCTCCTAATTCGTCCCAATTCGTGGGATCCAATCTCATTGGCCAAACTGATTGATTGGCTTTTGGGTTTCGGCTCTTGATGGAGCCTCGCCGTATGTGCTCTTGGCTCTGGTTATGCAATAAATATACATGTTCGATTCAGCTGGGGCAAGGGTAACAGTTAGTCTAGGCATTAGGGCCTCGGCTCGGGTCGCCTATATAGACGAATCAGTCAAGCAATAAGCGTGGGCTACACTTCATTAGGCACAACAACTGTCGCACACACACACACACACAGAGAACCACACATACACGCACGCACGAAACGCATTTACGAATTGTCATATTAAATATGCAAAAAGAAATCGAAAACGTTTACTAAGTGAATGTGATGCAGCGATACCCTGTAAACTGAAGTGGCAATGGGATCAAAGGGTGAGAGAGATAGAGAGACAGCTATAAATGTCGTATAAGCAATATATTAATTAATATATTCGATATTTATTGACTAGACAGAAATGCTAATGAGATAAGGGAAGGCAAAGAAACCAAGTAAAACTCTTTCTATATCTACATAAACTGAGAATGTTATCGACTTTATTCAGTAGAGAGAAATGTTCATCAGATAATGAAATAGTGGTCATCTAACATATATCTCAGTCCTACATATTTTAAATCTTAGCTTCGATAATATGGAAGATTAAAAAAGTCGATATTTATCGAAAAAAAATTATATATAGAGATCAGGTTTGATATCGTTTCGCTTTAATAGACTTGACCTTTTATTTGTTTGTAACATTCTCCATATTTCCACTACTAATCAATATTTAACGACACAAATAATTATGATAAATATCTGATATAAGTTAAATATAGACTAATTGTGCATGAAATATGATGTGGATAATTAGATATCGAGGTTGATATCGAGCTTGATATCGATTTCCTCTACTTTTGTAACATTTTCCCCATTTCAATTGAATATTCTGGAACATTATCCTTATTACAATTGAATATTCTAGAACATTAATCGGCAAATCATTGACTTTTCTTTTTGGATCCAAGGTTTCGATATCCCCAGTATCCAGCCAAAAAATATAAAAAAATAAAACCTATTGAAAATGCAAATAGAGACTTGTATATGCCGTTTCAAAAACACTACAATAATGCAATTACCTAACCTCATTTCAAGTGTTAATTTCGCAGTCAGATGCTGAAGGGTATGCAAATACGCAGAATAGCGGGTTTTGCTGGCAATATGAGAGCAAATATACACCAAGAAAAAAAACATGCGAAGCGAGAAACGCCAACAACAAATTTTCATGCTGTTGCTGTCACAAGAGTTGGATTTTTTTTATTTTATTTATTTATTTTATGTTAACAGTAAAATAGCCTACCAAAAGAAACAACACCCACACACACACACACACATGCACGCACGCACACAGACACCTCGCCTGCCTTTCCCCATGTCCTGTCCCTACTTGCTTGACCCATCATCCAGTTTTTTGCTCTCTTTCTCTCTCTTGTTTTTGTTGTTGCCCATAGATGTGCTTGTCATTTGGCTTTTGCTTTTTCTTCTTTACTTTTTTGTCACTGTGCTTGTCACACTTTAACACACACACAGGCACACACACACAAACACTTAAACACGCAGGCGCCCCTTTTTTGCAATTGCTTTAAATATTTAAGTAGTTTTCAGTTTCAGTTTCCTGTTTTATTATTCTCTCATTTCGCTAACCGCACACACACACACAAACACACATACAGCACACATACACGCACATAGACACACTTGTAAGTCTGTCTGTGTGTGTTTGTGTCACGTTGCCTCACACTCAACTGCGCTGCTGGCGTCGCTGCCGCTTTATTTGCCTGCTGTCATTCTTCTGCTTTCTCTAGTTCTTCTGCTTCTTGCTTTTACTGTTAACCCTTTTGTATTTGTTAGCCACGCAACATTGGCGCACTTCATTCAGCTGCAGTGGCTGCCAAACTGTACGCGTGTGGTGCGGTTGACACTTATGCAACCGCAACGCCGCTGCACCACTGTCTACGTCGACGTCAACGGCAGCGTTGGCAGCGACTCTCTTTGATTCTTTGTTGCTGTTGCATAGTTTTTGGCTGCACTTGAAAAAGCAGCAGGCGACCAATTGTTGTTGCTGTTCCTCTTGCTGACATAATTGTGCTCTGTGCGTGTATGCATACATATATATATATTCATATATATATTTATAAATATATACATATATATATGTATATAAGTGCCTCTGTGTGTGTGGTTGTCATTCCTTTATGCCTCAACAACTGACACACATTTCAGCTAACTACAACAACGAAAGCAGTCGAAGTTTTTGCTTTGTATCTTGCTTACATTTTTTGCCAAGCGTCGCCGCCAGCAGCGGCAGCAGCAGAACTCTCTAAGACAACAATTACAAGTGTGTTTATGCCTCTCGCTCGCGCATTCACGCCATGCGTAACTTTCGCACATTACGCTTGGCGTCGCCGTCGACGTTGACGCCGCTTTTAGCGGCGAATTTCAAAAAAAAAAAAAAAAATAATGAAGAAAAAGTAAAAAGAAGCAGGAGCAGGCGAACTCAACTTCATTACACAATACATGAAGTACTCAACCAAAAGAGAGAGAGAGGCAGAGTTCTCTGTACGTTTGTGTGTCTGCCTGCATGTGTGTGTGTGTGTGTGTTTGTAAGTTAGCGGCAATGGCTCTTTAGTGATTACCTTTTGTTGCTGTTGCTTTTTGATTGCTTTTATGTGGATAATAATAATGTATTCCTTTTTGCTTTGCTTTGCTTTGCTCTTGCCTGGTTCTTGCTTTCTTGTTGTGCTCTCGCTGTCTTCCACTTGTTTTGGTTTTTCCTCTAAATTTTTGTGTTTATTTTTTCTTTGCTTTTTATATTAATTTTGATTACTTGTAACGCGTATTTCGCTTTTCACTTTGTTTTTACTTTCCACTATAAACATAAATATAATAAATGTAAAAAGATAGAAAAAAATATATATATGTATGTATGTATACGTATGCATACATATATATGTATGTACATACATATATGTACATACATATACATACATTTATATACATGCATATATTCAATTTATTATATTTTTACACCGCAAAAAAAAACGTATGCAAATATTGTGGGAGTGTAACGGGAAAAGGGTTCGGCTATGTGCAACAATTGCCGACTTAAACGTGGATTTGGCCAGGTTTACAGGCTTCAAGTCCGCGCCACTTTTTTGGTTATTCTGTTTTATTTGGTTTTTCTTTATGTGTTTTCAAAAAAAAAAAAAAACGTTTAAAAAAAATACAAAAAATTTTAACCTAGTGCACAAGAATTGAATTTTTCTTATTTCTTTTTATTTTATTATATTTTTTTTTGTTGGGCAACGCTTTCAGTGTAGGAATTCGCTTGAGAATTGGCTCAAATACGTTGCGCGCGGCTACGCACCTAAAAGTAGACTACGAACCCGTTACGAACTCGAGCGGCGTCGAGCCCTCAACTCGCTCTCGCGCTCTCCACCGCTCTTTGAGTCGCGCGCCCACTCTCTTTGAAAGTGGATGGAACAGCTGTAGGCAAAGCTGCAACTCAAGCTCAAGCTTGAGCTGTGCTTTTCGGTAGCTTTTGCCAGCTGTTCGGTCTGGTTCGCAACCACTTAACGAAAGCTCAGCTTGCGCTTTTTCTGGGCTAGCTTTGAGCTAGCGCCATCTGGTGTTTGTCAGCCAAGACTTGCGCCTGCGCCACTTGCAAATTTGTTTTTTGCCTTGTCCTAGGGTGGGTTTTACCTTTGCATTGGGGGTGGCAAAATAGCCCCAAACCAGGGCCCGAATCTGTGGGCCAGTTTCAAGAGACGCGTAGGCGGCAGCAGGCGTGCAGCTTGGCCAATAAACCGATTAAAGACTTATCGATTAACGATTACTACGTGTGGCACCTGTGGCAGCTATGCAAAGTTATATACATACATACATATGTACATATATTTATACAATATATATGTAAATATGGATAACAAGTGTGAAATTTGCTAATTCAATTGATCACTCAACAAACACTCTGCAGCGATCTTAAAACAAACAGTAATTGATCGAGCCTAAAGCAAAACACGGTGAATACTGTATTTACATACACGCATGCAGACGGACAGACACATTCCTGTAGACATATGCGCATACTTACACACCCAGCATACATTCATACATACATACATACATGCAAAAGAAACCATATGCAGCAAACACAACACTCAGCATTCGCAAGAGCAGCGAAATCAAGAAGAAAAACAACAACAACAACAACGAGAGCAAGAGCAAACGGTAAACTGGTTTGCATCGCATTACGATTATTTTATTTATTTATATTTGTATCAGCGACCCGTCACTCTGAAAGCACTCTGAAAGACGCCAACAATTTAGACGGCGTTGACGCTGAGCGCCGTGCGCCGAGTCCAAAGTTCACAAAACACAAGTTTAGCGCAACAAGAAAGTAAACAAGTGTCTGGGGGCCAATGCAACAACACGACTTGCGTATGCATTTGCCAGAGAGCGGAATAGAGAGAGGGAGCAAAGAGCGAGCTGTCAGCAAAGAGAGAAGCGGGAGTGTGGCAGAGAGCGCACTTAAGAGAGCACAAAAAAAAAACAGCTATTGTGATTAGTTGTAATTAGCATTGAGCTCATTGTATTTCTGTTTGCTCTGCCAAATATGTAACTACAGCTTCACACTGAATTCCGTTATACACTATGTTTATTTTTCTCTCTCTTGATTAAAGTTACCCCAATTTTTGCATAATTCAATAAAAAATGCCAGCCAAAATTGCGACAATTTGCAAAAATGCGAGCGTGTGCTGCCCTATCATAGCTGCAAGAAGAGTATATACATACATACATATGTACTTACACACATACACATACGTAGTCAATTTATATATTAGTCACTTAACACGCACTTTGGACTGTCTATCCATTTGCCTTGACTCAGACTGCATTTATAGCAATTTCCATTATCGGGCAATTTGATCGATAAGCACTGACGAATTAAGTTCACAGTTATTCCCAAAGAACCACGAGTTAGATTCGCAAACTTTCTTTGTCTGGCTGAAAATGCGGCCAATTCTATGACGAAGCATGCGGCACTCGGCCAGCAAGAGTGCATTCGAAACGAAAAGCGAAAAATGAAGAAGAGAATCTAAGAACAAGAGCGAACACAATAACAATAACAAGTGTGACAATTGTAAATTAAGCTGAGTGTGAGCGAAAGAGAAGGAAGTGGCCTTGAGCTATAAATACCAGGGCGTTTATGCAGTATTTGAGTGCTGTTATTGGTAAAGCCGCGATTCGTAGTCCAGTTTGGTTGTGCAACTGACCGCCAGGCGGCGTTTTAGCTGAGAAGTAAGGTGAATGCCCTCCGCATAAAAGAAATGCCCAGGCGGGAGGCCTATGCCTAGGTCCGGTTTTCTACACATCCAATTTTGAGCGGCGTGTTTCGGGTTTTCTCGTTTCCTCTCACGCTTCCAGAGGACTTTGGACCCGGGCGTAATCCAAGTTTCTATTACCGGTTAGACCAGAATCTACCTGATTTATACTTTCTACGCTAATCACCCGCAATCGGGCATCTAAGCTTAATTACCATAATAACAATACCCGTTAGCGTCCCGATAAGCGACAATGCAAGTCATGCCCACAAGGCCGAAACAAAGTCTGGAAGACAATAGAGGCTGATAACACTTATCAGTGCGTTTCTTCATACGTACACTGCACATTCATACATTCATACAAACATACATACATATGTATGTATGCATATACATGTATGTGTCATAAAATCATTTGTAATAAAGTTGTTGATGTGTGGCACGGATAAGGAGTGGACTGAGACTGGAAGTAGGGGGTGAAGCATTCCAGATTTTCTATATACCGCAGAGGGTCATATAAAACTCAATCAGCCATAAAAAAACATAGCGTTATATGAGTCCAAATAATCAAATATTAGCTGTATAGATAGAGCTCGTGTGATTTGTTCACGAATTTTTGTTTATTAACATCAGATTTAACAGACTAATGTCGCTTATCCACATTATTACAGGGTATTCTATCGTCCGTCCCTGCTCGTACTCGATATAAACATCTGAAACTAGCTTGAATTGAAAATAATAATCGGCAAACGTTTATTGTGCTATACAATTACACCCACACACACACACACATTAAAAAATGTCATTTATTTTCATAAAAAATGCAAGCAGAATCACACAGTCAAGCACACATTCATATGTACATATATGTATGTATAATTGTTTTTGTGTTAAGTAACTGCATGAAGAGAGAAATGCATGCGCGCACACACACACGCACACATGCATGCGAATACATTGCAAAGAAACATGCGCTACCTCAGCGATGCCAATAATATTTACTACATTTATACACACACACACACATACCTACATACATACAGAGTGTCAAGTATAAGCAGGGAATTGCACTGGCTACTAATTTACAGTTACAGCTATGCAGGCAGCCGAACGAAGAAGAGTGTAAGCAGCGTCAAAGAGTCAAAACAGAGGGAGAGAGAGTGAGAGAGAGAGTGATGCAAAGAGAGTGAGAGTGTGATCAAGTGAAGGAAACAACAACAAGAATATGCATTTGAAACTGAGCGCGTAGGCGCAAATGAGCGCGCCAGTGTTGCCGTTTTTCATCGAGAAAAAAAAAAAACAGCTGAATGAGGACAACAACTAAGCAAAACTAAATAAACCCAGAAACAATTAGCGGAAAAATAAGCTAATATTTTAGAATTATTTTTATATATTGTATTAGATACAAGTATAAATATTTTTATCAAACATTTCAACATTATATATTCATTTATATGTTTACATGGATGATAAATCTGCCACTAGATAGTCTACAGTCTGTAATCATCATCATATGTTATTTTGGCTAAATTCGGGTGTACAATTTAAAAATATTTCTTTTTTAACCTTCCACTTCGCCACAGGCAATCTATTTATCCACTATATAATAGATATAAAAGTATTGCAGAACTAGTGATGTGAGCCTTTAATAGATGCCAGCTTATTAGTTTGTCTATTAATCGGTAAAATCAGATATTAAACAAAATATGTATTAGATGATTCGACTCGTAAGAAAGCCAGATTTTCCGCAATCGCACTTGAAAGTAAGCTGGATCTGGCCGAAAATGAGCCAAAACGGCAGCACTGAAGCGCGCAGCGTTAAATAAAGAGAAGCAGCAGCACAGCAACAACAGCAACAACAACGGACGCCCCTTTACCACGCCAACGCGATCTGTTTGCCTGCGCTTGTGCCTGCCTCTGTGTGTGTGTGTGTGCGAGCGTGTTTTGGCTTGCCGGCGAGCCGGCAACGCTGCCGCTGCGACGCCAACAGGCAGTCGTGCCTCAGCACTCCAAAGCAGCAGACGTGTTTGTGGACAGACAGACAGGCAGCAATAGCAGCAGCAGCGCAACGCCAAAACAGCAGTCAAAACAAATTACAAATTCTCAGACGCAGCTTGAGCCACTTCCAATTCAAGCCAACGTTGCTAAGAGCGTGAGAAGAGACAGACAGACAGACAGAGAGCCGAAGTTAAATCAATGAAAATGTATCCAGTCGCTGCCCAGATGCTGCGTCTGCGCAGCGCCGCCAACGCCTGCGCCCGCACAATCACAACGAATCGCAGGCAGCGCAACACGGCGAGCGTTGAGCGCGCCCAGAGCATCAGCGAGCGGGACAAGTCGCTGCACTACAGCGCCGAGGATGGCTACTACAAGACCTCGCCCTACGATCCCATCAAGATCCAAAATATGCCGTTGCACGAGTACGTCTGGCGCGACTTTAAAAAGTGGGAGAACTCCACGGCAGCGGTAAGTGCAGTTAGGCAGTGTTGCCTAACGAACAAAACTAGTGTTTATAGTGGTTGAAAATAGAAGAAATGTGAATGAATTCAGAAATTTACTATGCGAACAATTTGTGAGTGAAAACTAGTTAATATATACATATTTATATATATATATATATTCAAATAAATGCAATTTTAGTGTTAATAAATTCAAATTCAAATCATTAAATAAACTTTAAACTGAGAGTATTTGATGATGAGACATGAGAGATAATATTTTTTTCGAGTGTTTTGAAAAAGTGCTTTTTAAAGATTCCAATACTATATATGTATATATTCATAAAGGAGAGTAAAAAATTAAAATTTATGAAAAATATAATGAAAATAAAATAGAAGAACCATTACAGTCCAATATTTAGGAAATCAAATTTAAGAAGAAAATTAAGAAGAAAGGAAAAACCTTATTTCTGTGATTCGACATGTTCTTCCTTTGATAAGAAATCATAATTTGAAAGTTTCTGTAGATTTGTAAAATCCTCTATAATATTCTGAAACTGGAACAATTTATATGCATTCCTCCTGTTTAGTCTGGAATTAAATATCAAAGTAATTTACGTCATGGCTGTATGGAGTGTTATTATTGATACTCGAGTATCCCACAACTACCAGGTGCTCCATCTGAAGTTGATCTATAATACACACACTCTATGTATAAGTTCTAGATAGAACACCCACTTGAGATCTCCACTGATATATCATCTTATCAATTGGTGGTACATCGTAGTGATTTATAGAGCCTAGACAATTGTCTAATTAGTGATTATCGGGACAACTAACAACTAGTTCGTACACCCATTTACTATACCCTTACCCAATGTCTTATCGCTTCACAATGACCGAATTTCGTTTTTGCCATTTCATTGAACCTGAACCTATGCCAATACCTGGCTGTATACCTGTACATATGTCTATGCTTATGCATACATGTATGTATGTGTGTGTGTGTGTGTCTGTTTATATATTCTTCCCTGGCACTATGGGCTGAGTCTCTGTCGAGTCTATGAGTCGCATGTAAATTTCAATTGGACTGCGCGACTTGAATCACGAGTGCAGTAATAAGTTTCTCTGGAATTTCGATTAGTTTAGCTCTATCGGCTGCGAGCGACATCTTGTTTAACGAATGTATTTATATGGGTCATTTCTGTGTTGCTCTTGTTTTGGCCAGATAATACGTGTTTCGTCTCTTGTGTACATTAAGCAAAAATGCCTATTTAGATAAGTGCGAAAGTGAAATAAAATACATACATATATAGTGCGAACTACGCCTTCACACTGAAAACTTGAGATAAGGGAATGTCATACAAGAATAATAATAGAAATACCCATAATACATGTGTGTATTATAATAAACTAGTATTTGTGTAATTATCTTATATATAAAATTCTCGTATTTATATATATAGAGAGAGAGAGATACAGAGACATAGAGAGAGAGAGAGAGAGAGGTAGAGAGAGAGAAAGGCCCCTTTGTAGCGCTTCGCTTGGGGCCTTGACCAGTTCAAGTCGACTGTGAAAAGGCATCAAATTGCTTTACATGCCCGATAAGAGCGACAATGACAGCGAGGGGTACGAAAGGGATAAAGTGCAGATATGACGTATGACAAGTATTTCAGACGGCAGTGCTCGACTAGCAGATACCCTGTTTTCAAAAAATACCTGAAATATGCTTGCATAAATAATATCAATTGATCAAACCAATTTTAGTATATAGTATATACTAAATATATATAGAATATACTAAGAATATGAAACTGTGATAAATTAGAGTATGGCGGTAGACAAATTTTAGTTAGCATATGACTAAAATATTTTCTATATGTTCTATTACAGTTTCAATGCTCGACTAAGTATCTGCTATAGGGTATACACGACTACATCATGCTCTATTTAAAAATGCTTTGATATAATCTATAGATTCTTAACAAGAAAAGCTAACACTTCAGCTAGAGAATTATTCAATATGTGGGCGTGGCATACCCTCAAAGCGTATGCAAATTCAATATACTCCACATTACTTGGCGAACAGGGTATATGAGACAGAAATGCAACTTGCAGGAGATTGATAGGGGAATGGAGAAATCAAAATGCAAGAGACGAGTAGAAAAGTGACAGACAGCGCGAGAGAGAGAGAGGGAGAGATAGAGAGACAGATGAAGTGAGAGAAGGGGGCGGAGGTAGAGGTAGAGCGAACGAGCGACTATAAATAGCTGCATGATCGAGGCAACTGTCGGGCTTGCATAAGCACCGCACACCCCACACCGCCCACGCGCCCCGCCCACGCGAAGGCGACAAAGAGCAGCAACAACAACCGTCACTGCAGCCGCCCTGACCGCTAGCACGGCCCCTCCGCCGTGAAATCAAAGTGCAAAAGTTGTTCATTGAAATTGATTAGCCTAGTACAGTGGGCAATATCAGTTTTTGCCTGCTCAAATGTGCACGCAAGGCACAAACGGCGGCTTGTGCACATTTGAAGCCTCGTGTGCCTGAATTAAATGCAATGCACACACACAAACACACTCTCTTTCTGTCGTACAAATACCGATCTATATATATATATGATATATATTATATTAAATCTAGTTAGCTGCACAGTGGGTGCAAAGTGCGAATTGTTGCAATTGAATTTCGATTCGCTATGCAAAGGCAACAACAAAATTAACGCAAATTGCCTCAAGTGTGTTATATATGGTAAAGCGGGCAGTCTCGTTTCGCCATTAAATGCATAATATAGCCCATATAGGTGTAGATATAATATAGAGAGAGAGATAGAGTGAGAGAGAGAGAATAGTTTACGCTGTTTCTAACCGACTTGAAACTTTGTTTCCATCTCGATCAAAATATTTTTACACTTGTTTGTACTGCAGATGAGTATACACATATATATATATATATATATTATATATAGTCTTATATACGTATATATAACAGTTGGTCATTCCTTATAATGCTCGTAAAACTTTCTCAGGCGCCTACGATTCGAGAATCGAATAGAAATGCGTTTTGTAAGTTTTTTTTAATTAGCAGCGCGAGATAAGCGGGTTAAATAAAGTTCAGACGTCTATATAGATTCAATTTAGATGACTCTTTATCACTATATTTCGACCATTTAGTATTTTGGAGTCAAAGAGGTGCATTCATTATTTTGTGTTTTTGTAAAACATCTCAGCTGACCCAAAAATATTGCTACACATTTCTTGCTCTCTAACTAGGGACTAGAGATTTAGATGATTTTGATTTTGATAAATTGATAGACTTTATTAATTTCAGCTTATATTATTTTCAAAATATATTGAAATATATGTTTAAAATGTTTATTTAGATCTCGATTATTTTCTAAACCGCTGCTAGCTTTAGCACCTACATATGTAGTTCCATCTGAAGATGTGAGAGATTTATTTATTTATTTTTTTTTTTTTAATTTTTTTATAATTTTTATTGATATTTTTGCACAATTTTAATGAAGCAAATTTTAATTTTTCTGTCATTTTTATGGCTTTAAATTTAATCAATTAAAATTATTTTTAAATGAAGTAAAATGTGACTACAGAGTGCAAGTCACTAAAGCAAATTTGTTCTACTTTTCTGCTAGCTATAAGCCTAATTAATTTGCTCTCTCCCTTTCGCTCTCTCTCCCTTTCTCTCACTCTTGACACAGCCCTTGAGCTTATCGCGCAAGAGCATTGAACTATTCGTTGTGCGCGTCAGCTAACATGATTTTAATATGTTTTTAATTGTCCAATAATAGGTGTGTAGAAACAATCAAATAGAGACACGCACACACACACACACACACGCGCGTCTAAGCTAACAATCGCTAATTACGATTGCTTTGCATTTGCATTCGCTCAAAACAATTAGCCGCAAATCATCTGTTGCTCTGTTTGCCGTTGCCGTTGCCTTTGCTTTTGTTTTTGCTTTTGCTTTTGTGTTTGCCTTTGCCTTTGCTGGTGATTCCTGCGGTGGGCCTGGCCCTCTTGTGTGAGCGTGACAGTGACAGTGGGTGAACGGGATTGACTGTGCTCTCGTTGTCGTCGTCTTCGTCGTCGTCTTTGTTGTTGTTATTGCGTTTGGCCCGCGAAAAAGTCAACAAACGTCGCGACGCGCGAAACAACAAGTGATACAAACACACACGCAGTTACACACACCCACACACACACACACACACACTTGGATATATGCCATCACAGAGAGAGAGAGAGAGAGAGAGCAAGAGCACAGTAATCATCTCTTTGGTTCTCTCTTTGTGTCTTATGCAGACTTTGTACTTTGCCCCACTGAACTTTGATCAGTGGCCGCGGCGCAGCTCAAGCGCAACGCAGCAGCAGCAGCAGCGCGTCAACTGCTCGAAATTATTTTTCTGGTTTTTATTTTTTGTTTGAAATTTTATTTAAATTGTCTTTATGTTTTGGTTTTTTTCGTTTTGTTGTTTCTTTTTCTGTTTTTGTTATTTTGCTTAATTTAGCTGATTTTTTTAAATTCGACATTTTAATGTGCTTGTTTTTCGCCGTTTCTCTTGTGTCCACTTGTTATCGTCTATTTTTATTTATGTATAATTCGCGCTGCGCAAATAATCTTAGCATCGACTACTAGCCGGTCCCCCTTAGCCCCGCCCCACTGCCCAGCCCTAAAGAGAGCCTTTGCCGAAAGACCGGGTTTCATTTAAGCATGGCCTTGACAAGGTCAAGCGCTCAACTGGATCTAAAACTTCGGCAACGAAGGGCAATGTGAACGCTATTAAGATCAGCGTAAACAACTTTACCATCTGTCATATATGCATACATACATACATATATACATGTTTTGATATCTAGATATGTATATGGATTTGTAGGGAATTTGGTACTCAAGTTCAAGTTAAATCATGGACAAATCAAATACGTGTGTCTTAGTCGGCCGAGATAGCTCTATGCCATATAATTTATATATTTTCTTCTCTGATAAGCACTTTGCACCGCTTTATCTATATTTTATTCACGCTTTATAGTCCAATAATTGTCATTTAGTGCCCTCACTTTTACTCTATTTACTTGTAAGTGTAATTCTACTGCGGCCCAGCCGAGCCTATGTTAATCGAACTCAATTCGTATAACCATGACCTATTTTCCATGCTAAGCATTAGAGCTCTGCCCGAAACTTTGCACCCAAGTGTTTACATACTAGAGATTGTTGAACTTTTGTCAGCTTTTTCAGAATATTCTATTTATAATATCATCGAAAGAGAAATAAAGAGAAAAAGTATGATTTTCATGATAAGATTTTTTAGGTAAAATAAAAACAAAAGAAATAGCAAAATGTTTGCAAATTTTATAGATAGAATCTGTGACTTCATGCTGACTAATCTATATTATTATTTGTTGTTCCATATTATGATGTGCATATTATAGAGATAAGATTTTTAGCAATTTTTTACAAAAATGGGTTTTTCGATCTTTCCACAGATTCATGCATATACCGGTTAAATTTCGGAATGTATATAACTGTTATTATAATATATTTTATACTAAATAATTTTTAAAATTTGTGGAGAAGCAATAAAATGGCTTCATTTAGTTTTGTTTATCCTTGAAAATGCCAAAACTCTTTCCATGAGATCTCGTAATCGTGTCTAATATATATATTTTTGGCCCTTTCGCTGAGTCTATACTCCAGTGATCCTATGAGAAATCAATTCCTATTTGCTAATCACTTCCGCCTTTACTCTTTCAGGTCTGCGTGATTACAGATCGGCAATATACGTACGCCCAGCTTCGCGATGCCTGCGCCGCCTTTGCCGTGCGCCTGCAGACGAAGTTCAAGCTGTTCAATCCCGACATTCTTGCCATTTGTCTGCCAAATATGCCAGAGTATCCGATCGCAGCGCTGGGCGCTATCGAAGCTGGTCTCGCTGTGACTACAATCAATCCAATTTATACGCCAGGTATGATCCGGGTGAGAGGGCCGGTAGCCAGCACGTGGGCGTCGCATCGTGCTCGTCGGAGCGACATACTCGCGATAAGCTCACATACATTTAAATCTGGTTTAATTATCCCTTATCAGAGCTGGAATTGTTGAGTTAACGAGCGAGCGGGCGTAGTCCGAGTCCAAAGATCAGTGTACCAGATAGGCCCCCAAATTATATTTGCGAGGTTATGAACTCGTCTCGAAGACTGACTGACGCACATCTGTCTATCAATTCGTTGCTCTAACTAAGCTCTGCCCTAACACGAACGGATGCGGCACAATATAAACAAGTAAAAACATTCGCAAGTCGGGTGCAGGGGTCGGGAGAGACCAAAGGGGGAATGCCAAGCTCAGTGGGTTGACTGATAGGTACAGAGAGAGAGCTTGGCACAAGTTGAAATAATAATAATTCGCATTGAGTGCGATATGAAAGAATTATTTAAGAGGCAGGTATAAAAATAGAATAGAACAAAAGTTCAGATCGTAAAGGGGCAAATCGGCAAATAAAGGAGAATACTACCCCTAGAGGGGTATACAACTGTCTAAATAAATCTTGGAAAAAATGATATATGGAAAAATATGATAATGTCTAGAAAAAATCCTTAACTGAAAAATGAAAAAAGATGACAACAGCTAAATATGGGACATAGCTGTTTGACTGAACGTTTAAGAATTATAAAGTAAGAAGACTTCAGTTAGAGGGGCTAGACAAATGTCTAGAAAAAAATCCCGAAGAACGTGAATAAAAGTAGTTTAAGGAATAATAAATGAGGAAAGATGGCAACAGCTAAGCATGAGAATGTGCTGTTCGACTGAACGTTTACGAATGTCACATGAACAAGAAAGCCAAAAAGAAGACTTCAGGTAGGGGCTGTAGGCAAATGTCTAGGAGAAATACTTAAGAATGCGAATAATGACAGGATCGAAAGGAAATATGAGAAAAGTAATAATAGTTAAATGAAACTAAGATGGAAATAGTTAGACATGGGACATGTCTCGTTGAGCGAACGTTGACGAAGAATGATACAATAGAAGTCTTCAATCAGAGAGGGTCCTTATGGAATCAAATGAAAGGAAATATGAGAAAAATGTGTATAAGGAAATATGGGAAAAGTATAACCAGCTAATATTGCAAAAGCGAAAGTTTACGAATGCCACATAGAGCATACCGAAACTAATCAATAAGGGATAAGGGATACGAGTTGGGTAATTGACTTCAGCAGGGGCTAATCTTACGGTTTGCCTTGCAGATGAAATTTCACGCCAGCTGACGTTCAGCAATGCAAAGTTCCTGGTGGGCAGCGTGCCTGGCTATGCCACGCTGCGGGAGGCCTGCCGGCTGGCTGGCAAGCAGATGCCCATCGCAGTGGTGCGCAGCAGCGAGACGGAGCTGCTGCCGGCGGGAGCGATTGATTTCTTTGAGCTGATAAGCACGGAGAATGTGCGCTACGACGAGCTGTGCCCGCCGAAGGATGCGACACCTGACGACATGGTCTTTCTGCCCTTCTCCTCGGGCACGACGGGCCTGCCCAAGGGCGTGGTGCTGTCCCACAACAACATCAGCAGCAACTGCGAGCAACTGCAGGATGCGCTGCCCATCGACTCACTCCAGTTCCAGGACACGTTGCCCGCGGTGCTGCCCTTCTTCCATATCTACGGCCTGACCGTGGTCATGCTGTCGAAGCTGGGCCAGGGCGCCCGGCTGGCCACGTTGCCAGCCTTCAAGCCGGACGACTTCATCAAGGCGCTCGACACATACAAGGGCAGCATCCTCAATCTTGTGCCGCCCATTGGTGAGTTGTCGTACGAGGAAAGACAACTCGAGTCGCATACTGATTGAAATTTTGTTTCCTTTTTGCCTCAGCCTTGTTCATGATCAACCATCCAAAGCTAACGAAGGACGTGGCTTCAGCGCTGCGCGTTGTCATGTCCGGCGCGGCGCCCATTGGCCAAAACGACGTCGAGCGCTTCCTGCATAAGTGAGTAGCGTGCCCAGTCGAAATCTAGATAAGGCTTTATCAACCTGCCGTTATGATCCGATATAAGATCCCATAGTTATCCTAGCTCTAGCTCACATCTTCTAAATCTACCCCAACTTATATCTTATTATTCCACTAATGGGTTATCTAAAACTACCCTTACGTTCCTATAACCCCATTATTATCCTTCGAATATGCTCTAGCTCACATCTTGTTAGTCTACCCTACCTTGGCCTATATGTCGAGCAGCCTTTGCTAGATCTCTGAAGTGCGACGCAGGTATATCTTATTTATTCCGCATATGGGCTATCTTTTGCTAATCTCCAACCTGTGATAAACCTATTTACATAGAACTGAAGCCCCTTTGTTTGCCTGACAAGATGCTCTAAAAATCACACTAGTTATCTTTTGATAAGCTGCTGATAGCGCTCATTAGTCCCCTCGTAAGCTGTTGCAGAGCCATTTACACATTGTTCATCACTTTCCTGATAAGATTCAGTTAATTACCTGATAAGTTTTCGTAAGCCTCTGTATAATCTTTCCATTTCAACTTCACGTTTGCCGCATTAGCTCGTAAGCTTGTTAAGTTCTTATTGATCTTTCGATAAGTACTTTTGATATCTAATGATGACTTACTTTTGCTTGACGAACTCTCTGTAAATATTGTGAGGTTGATCGGGTTAACTTAACTCCAATTATCGGAAAATCTCTCCTTTCGATTATTAACTAGAGAAACGATTTCTCATTAGGGATCTTCCTACATCAGTGTATATTCAGCTGACTGCTAGCTTTCCGATCTCTTGAACAGTTTTTTGAGTCTTATCAGAACTATTTCATATAGCTCTTGGAAAATCTTCTACTAAGCATGGGTTTATCTTCGATTAGGCTCGCCGTTTGCTTTCTCACGCTCTTCTGGACTCTATCTACCTCTATCTATATTCTACTTGACTAATCCTGCTCTCCACTCTGCTCGCTTAGGTTCCCGAATACGCGCTTCATGCAGGGCTACGGCATGACGGAGGCATCGCCCGTGATCCTGATGACGCCCGAGGGCAATACGCGGTACGCCTCGACAGGTGTGCTGCCTGGCAGCACGGAGGCCAAGATCGTGCCCCTGGATGGGACCGACGCGAAGGGCGTGGGAGCAGGCGTGACCGGGGAGCTGTGCGTGCGCGGGCCGCAGGTGATGTCCGGCTATTTGAACAATCCGGAGGCCAACGAGCTGACCTTCTTTCCGGGCAAATGGCTGCGCACGGGCGATGTGGCCTTCTACGATGAGGATGGCTTCTTCTATATAACGGATCGCATGAAGGAGCTGATCAAGGTTAAGGGCTTCCAGGTGCCGCCAGCTGAGCTGGAAGCGGTGCTCCGCGACCATCCGAAGATCTTAGAGGCAGCCGTCTTTGGCATACCGCACGAGCTGAACGGCGAGGCGCCGCGAGCCATTGTTGTGCTGCGCCAGAACGAGACGGCAACGGCCGAGGAGATAGCCGCCTATGTGGCGGAACGTGTCGCACACTACAAGAAGCTCGAGGGCGGCATCATCTTTGTCGATGAGGTGCCCAAGAATCCGACCGGCAAAATACTGCGCAAGGATATCAAACAAAAGTATTCGGACTGAGCCAGCCAATCTCGCAATCTGCAGTTAATACATAGCTGTTAAGCACCTATTTTATATGTTTTACTATTATTATTTTATTTTTCTTTAATCATTTTTGTTTTTTTTTTTTTGAGAGAATTTCAATTACCATTTGGTATCTCTGTGGATCCGATAATATGTGACCCTTCAATGTTGGCAATCGCCAGTGAAGAGGCGGGCATTGCGAGCATTGCATTTAGACGAGTGGCCCCCAGGGGGCTGCGAAAATAGCGAGTAAAGCATAGCGAGTAACGAGTAGCACGTAGGGAGTAGGAAGTAGCGAGTAATGAGAGTCGTGAAGTGAAAAGCTATAAGCGTGAGGCGAGTGGCGAGTAACCAGTAGCGAGTGGCGAGTAGAAAGTAACGAGTAGCACGTAGGGAGTAGGAAGTAGCGAGTAATCAGAATCGTAAAGTGAAAATAGCGAGTAAAGCATAGCGAGTAACGAGTAGCACGTAGGGAGTAGGAAGT